TGTGTGTGTGTGTGTGTGTGTGTGTGACATGGAAGACATGCATGCACAGCAAAAAAGAAAAAAGGAGCCGACGGCCATCCGTCCTGCTGCCGCGGTCGCCCCCTCCCCCCTGCGTCGGCCTTTCTCTCACATGCATCCATATAGATGTATGTTTGCCCTCTGAAGTCCGCAGACTCTCGCATTTGGCCCCGCGGCCGCGGCCTCCCTGCTCGCCGTAGAGTACATGGAGTAATCGGAAACGCGTGACAGAAGCAGCAGAGGCTTCCACACATGCACGTGCTTGAGTACACCTGTGTGTGTGTGTGTGTGTGTGGATGCCTGCGCGAGGAGAGGCCGCGCATATGGAGGGGGAAGAAACACCACCAGACGTGATGCGATTAGAGGAGGACACAGCCACGGCGCTTGCCGCTTCCTCCGCGACGACGGTTGGTCCGGGCCGCTGTCGAGGCCGCCCGCTTCCGCTGGGTGATCGAGCGGATAATGTGGGTGAAAACCTCATCGATGTTGTGGCTGCACGCGGGTTGCCACGGGGACGGACGGGAGGGAGGGGAGACGGGACGAGGGGCCAGGGGCAAAGGGGGGTGGAGAGTGGGTAAGAAGACTTTGTGAAAGTGTGAAGGATCACCAGAGGGAGGGCGTAACGGGGGGGAACACCGAAAGACAGGGGGAGAGTGGGAGGGCGCGCGCGCGCGCGCGCGCGAGAGAGAGAGAGAGAGAGAGAGAGGGGGGGGGGACAGAGAGAAAGGGACAGAGAGAGAGGGACAGGTGAGTGCGTACCGAGTCTTGGCCGAGGTCTCGTAGTAGGGGATCTTCCAGTGGTCAGCCTTGGCCTGGGCCTCTTCGGAGAAGACCGCGCGGCTTCGCTCCAAATCGGACTTGTTACCGACAAGAATGATCGGGATTTCCGTGTCATCCAGGACGCGGTGGATCTGCTCGATGAAATCATCAAGGGCATCAAGGGTCTCGCGCTCGGTCAAGGAGAAAACGCAGAGGAATCCCTCGCCACAGCGGTAGTAGTTGTCACGGATCTGTGGCATTCGCACACAGGGAACGAAAGGCAGAGAGGGATGTGAGTGGCAAAAGAGAGAAAGGGGCCACAAAGAGAGGGAGAGAGAGAGAGGGAGAGAGGGAAGGCCTATGAGAGAGGGGACGCACGGCGGCATACTCCTCCTGACCAGAGGTGTCAAGCACATCGATGTTGATCTCCTCGTCCTCGAACATGATCTACATGCGTCAGCAGCGGTGGCGCATCGACAACCAAGACGACGGGTCAGTATCCAGCAAGCGAGAGAGACGGGGGGGGGGGGGGAGGGGGCAGTGTGCCACTGCTAAAGAGGGCAGCAGGGCGACAGGTAGGCATGCTCGCACCTTCTTGCGGTACGAGTCGGCCTTCGTCGGGTCATAGGAGGAGATGAAGTCGCCATAGACGTATTGGAAGATGATGGCAGTCTTGCCAACACCACCGAGACCCACGACAATCAGCTTATGGAGAGCCGGGGTGCCAGATGCGCCGGAGCCTGCCGACGAGCCTCCGGAAGGCGCCGATCGAGACCGGGACATGGCTTACTGTGAGAGGGGATGGCGCGAGGGGCGTGTTGTGAGACGTCAGAAGAGGCATCGCGTGAGGGGACATGCGTGGAGCTGGCTCAGAGGAGGAGGAGGCGGAAGGGAGGGCCGGCGGGCGGGTGTACCTAGAAACAGAAACCCACACGGGGTGGGGCGGGGATGGAAGGCGAGGGGCACGCGCGTGTCCAGCGGTGACTGCACGTGTGGGACTTCCGCGGGCTGGGGGGAGGGGAGGAGGGAAGAAAGGGGTGTGGCGCAAAGGCGGGCGGCGTCAAGGGCAGGGGGTGTGATGGAGGGCGGAGCCGGGGCTGGAAGCGGGAGGGGGGCCGGGAGGGGGGGGGGGGGTGGAGTCCAATGCTATCTCGCGATGAGCCTTGGAAGCCGGCCGCAGGCGTCTCTTCAATCGCACGAGACTCCCAACGGCTCTCCGCGCCGGCCAGAAGCCGGAGATGTCGCTAGCCACCAAACGAGGGGTACACACGGTGAATCGGAGTATATTGATGGGGCGGGCGCGGGAGGGAGAAGTGCGTGTGCGCGCACGTCCGCCCGAGTGCAGGGCCTCCCAAGGGCGCTGGCTGTTATTGTCCCTCCCTGGAGGCAGGGACCGGGGGAGGGGGGGCGGGGGGCAGCGGCGGAGCGCGGAGAGAATGCACCCGGTTCCCCCGAGAGAAAAGGATCACAAGCCGCGAGGCCCGAATGAGCTACGCCGCGGCCCCGGGCACCAATTACAAGCAACAGACCGGGGGGAATGCACACCCTGCATGGGGGTCGGCATTAATTCATGGCAGTCAGGCTCGGGCTCTTTGGCTCGCGACCGGGGGGGGGGGGGCTGGGGGGGGGCCGTGCGAGTGAACCTGAGCTGGCGCTAAAGCAGGGCCCTCTTTCAAGCACCATGGATACTCGTTGACTCACCAGGCGGGTCGGGTCCTGGTGTGTGTGTCTGTATTTGTGTGTCTGTGCGCGCGCGTTCGGCGCGCGTGTCCCCCCCCCCCCCCCGACGGCTCCCGGTCTCACCCTTGGGACCCAGGCGGCATGAGGTATCAAGGTGCCGTGGCAGTCGAGCTGCCGGATGGTGCGCGGGCAAGCGGACGGGCTCGCGGCGGCACAGGGGGACCATCAAGCGGGGGGGGGGGGGGGGGGGGGCCGCAGACAGGGGGGAAGATGGTGTGTGTCCCCGCCGGCCCCGGCCCGCCCCCGGCCGCTCTCGGCCGGCCGAATCTCCCACACAGCCCTGGAGGCCAATGTTGGGCACAAGGTCAGTGGGCCCCCGCCAATTGGAGGAACCGCCGGGCTTGATGCGGGGTGCTTGGCGGGCGCGGCGCGCGGTGCGTCTACACGCGCCCATGGCCAATGATGG